TGAATATGTCTGCATTAGGATTTAGCTGCGGGCTCTGTAAGGGGCTTGCCATTTTCTGGGGCTGATTAAGTCGATGGTCAATGTATCCTCCTTGTATAACACACAACAAATCGTTCTTTAACATATCTAATTCGCTTTTAAATTTACTGATGTTTTCCATTTGTTGACTGTTGTTGACTTTCCTGTAGTTGCTGCTGACTTTCCTGCAACTGTTGGAGACTTTCTTCCTGTTTCCTTTCTTGTTCCAGTTCTCACTGCTGTAATTTTTCTTCTTGTTTATTTTCTATCTCCTCCAACCACTGCTGTAATCTCTCTTGTTCATTTTGTTGTTCGAGCTGACACTGTTGCAGGTTTTCTTGCCACTGCTGTTGTCTCTCTTCTTGTTTCTTTTCTTTTTCCTCCAACAACTGCTGTAATCTCTCTTCTTGTTTATTTTGCTGTTCGAGCTGCCACTGTTGTAGGTTTTCTTGCAAATGCTGTAATCTCTCTTCTTGTTTCTTTTCTTTTTCCTCCAACAACTGCTGTAATCTCTCTTCTTGTTTGATTTCTCGTTCTTCTTGTTTCTTTTCTTTTTCTTCTAACAACTGTTGTAATTTCTCTTCTCGTTCTTCTTGTTTCTTTTGCTGTTCGTGTATTGCTGCCATTAAGTCTGCTAGGCTGTAGTTTGATTTGCCGCTTCTCGTTTCCATTTTGTTTTCTGTCCCACTCTCTGACACCAATTTGTTAGGTCTCTGTTTGTTAATTAACTTTCCGTAACTTCGTTCCGACGAAACTTTAGCGACACAAGTCCTTACTTAATAAAACTGGTTTATTCTTTCCGAATAGAACTTTACGATACACTTATTTTCAACAATCACGCTAAAACAAACGCTATAACGAACGTTAACTTCAACAATACGTCTCTCTCTGACTGCTGTTCAATTACTCATTAGGTACACACACATTACATTCTTGCGTCACGTTGTCACCCTCTTATATATATACCAGAGTACCCTATCTAGTAAATGCTAGGGCATTCATCAAGGAACAAGATAGTTCTAGAAACTAGAGGGCGTAAGAATAGTCACTTGATCTCGATGACGCAACAATATTATATAACATCAGTTCATATAGTTGGAGCAGGACAGAAAATGTTGTAGTTATATCATAACATACATCCACGTAATTAGAGCAACACTTTTCAACCATTTGAAAACATTGAATATTTGTCCATCAGATTACATACAGGCAGACATCTTTAACGTCATGAAGGTATTGAAGTTATATCTTAATGAAAAATGTAGTCTTTTTTTATCTTTCTTATAGTTATTCATCTCTGTGAATAAATGAATCTTGTGTTACATACAAAAATAAGAAACAAATTGACACATATGTTATTGATTATAACATATGAAACATGTATGTCCAAGTTCAAGTTTTTTTCCTTTTTAAGATCTTGTAGGTAGACAGCAAGTGCTTGCCAAGCTGTAATCTTCAATAGCTCTTAAGGTACAGCTCTCAAAAACTTTTCTAGAGCATTTTTGTAAGCTTAAGAATATTATAAATGGGAACGTAATACCACAAAAGGCCATTCAGTTCATCAAGGGCACCCCCTTAACAATTTAAGAGAACTTCTTAGAAAAACCAAACTCTACATAACATGCTGTCTCAGAAGATGCAAAAATGAATATTATGATTTTAACAACAATACATTATATAGTAGTAGTTTTTGTTATTGTACAACTTTCAGTGGTAAGGATACACACTTATTGCATTATAATTTATGTAAATTGTGGGGCAAATGCTTTATTTGGCTTCTTTATTCAAATATGTCAAATAGAAAACATCTTTAAAATTTATTTAAACATTAGATTTTTAATTTAAAGTGACAAAATTTACTAAGTAAATAGATATTAAATATTAAAATTTGAATTGTTGGGTATATGTTTTATTTTATCAGGATTCTAAAAGTATGCAAATCTATTTCTTGTGTAAAAATGCATAATTTGTTGCAACAGTCAAACAGTAAAGGATAATGTAAATATATTCTAATAATGTAGCTACAAAGATATATATATGTAAATAATATATCAGTTATTATTATAAAAATGCTATATTATATTTATTTATTTATTTGTATATCAAGTACTTTATCATTATAATTTAAATATTTTGTGTAGGGATACTAATGAGATTTTCAGCAGTTTACATTAATTCCCCTAATTTGTCACAAAATAAACTATTCACAAAATATTTTGTCACAGGAAACTAAAATAGTTAGTGAAATATCTTTTTATTAAAGGTTGATATAGGAAAGTCTGTTATTAATTCTCTCAACATTTCTTTAAACAAAATTATTTTCTGTTATGAAACTAACACTAGTTGCAATATTGTTTAGAAGTGTTCACCTTCTTCCTTGAAAAAATAGCTACATCACTAAAATATAGGTTCATTGTTTAATGAAACCAATTTCAAACTTAAGGAAAAAGATAATGTTTTACACTTTACTCATTAGTCAAAGCATGCTGTCAAACTTTTTGACAAGGATCAATTTCCTGTGAATGGAGGATGTGACTTTTGTCTCTCAGAAAGGCTCCACACTGTGTTACCTATGATGGAAATCTGTCTTCTGTGTTTCTGCAGTTAACTTGGAATTATATGTTTTGTCATCTACTGTTTGTATTACTCTTACTGTAATTAGTAATTTCATTATTAACTCATCATGTATGGCATCTTCACAATTCAAACAATGTATACTTACTGTATTTGACCTTTTCTATTAGAATTATCGGGTTCATAAAAAATAACTTAGGTCAGAAAGAGAATTTTGAGATTAAACCTGAATATTAATACTCTTTTATATTTTATGAAAGACATCAGTTAATTTAAACTACAATGTTTGATGATATTGATTGAGATTTTATGAGAATGTGACCTTTTTTTGTGAATTGTAGCATGATTTTGGTTATAACAATGATATATGAGGACTCAGGTCATCTTGATGACTTCATGTACTAATCAGTTTACTCCTTCAAGATCAGTATGCTAGTCTAATAACTGTTGAAGTGCTTCAGATACAGAAACTGTAGGTTTTGTTACATATGCATTCAGAGAAGAAAATCTTGTTTGACCTTGTTTCTGTAGGGTTATCTTCACCACATCCAGAAATCGGGAAATACAAAAGTCAGTGAACAAAGTCTTAAAGATCTCTTTGGAAATATTGAAGATATTTATAGGTTTAACAAGTAAGTGCTTAACTTCAACTCTATAACACCAGTCAAAACCCTGTGTCTTATTAATATTTATAAATCAAGAATATTTAAATTATGTTTAGCAGAATAAACATTAGTATTTATAAATTGTGTCAGTTTTTACCTTCCGGTTTTCTTATTACTTCTTTAGCTTAAGTGGCATGTAAATGTTTCTAAATGTCATTTAGTTCAAGGTGGAAACTAGCCAACTTTGAACATACTAATAACATAACATAATATTTTGGAATAACATGGGACCTATTGGTCCATCTCGGCTGTTCCATCCTCAAAACTAAATTAAAATGATTTAAAAAAAAAATAAACAATTTTAAACTCAGCCCTTTTCATTCATATACTTATCAAGCTTTGTCTTAAACTCACTAAAATTTACTGCCTCTACAACTTCTGAAGACAACCCATTCCAAAGGCTAACCACCCTGTTAGAAAAAAGT